AGTTTACAATCCCACCAAACAGTGCATGAGGGTTCCCTTTTCTATTTTCTTTTCTTTTTTGGGGGGGGGGTGGAGTCTCTTTCCTCACCCAGGCTAGAGTGGAGTGGCATGTTCACAGTCACCCCGGCATCTACCTGCTGAGCTCCAGTGATCCTTCCGCCTCAGCTTTCCAAGTAGCTGGAACTGCAGGCACGCACTACCATACCCGGCTAATTTTTGATTTATTGTAGAGACAAGGTCTCACCATGTTGCCCAGGCTGTTCTCAAACCGTGGGCTCAGGCAATCCACTCACCTCGTCCAACCAAAGTACTGGGATGAAAGGCTGAGCCACTGAGCCCGGTGAGAGGGTTCCCTTTTCTTCACAACCATGCCAACATCCGTTGTTCTTTAACTTTCTAATAATGGCTATTCTTACTGGTGTGAGGTGGCATCTTATTGTGGTTTTAATTTGCATTTCTCTGATGTCTGTGGTGTTGAGCATTTTTTTCATGTTTGTTGGCCGCCTGTGTGTCCTCTTTTGAGAAGTACCTATTCATGTCCTTTGCCATGCGGGTTTTCATTCTGCCCTCGCGTTTTGTTTCCTGCGATCTCCCTTGTCCCTTCCACTTCTCTTTTCACCTGGTCCTCATGCTCTCCTGGGGCAGCCTGTGTGGCCCCCAGGAGCCATGACTACTTCTTCCCTCTTGAAGATAGCAGGGCACTTCCAGAGCCCTCCGGGCCCTGCAGGGACAATGATTGTGCCCTCTCTTTGCCTTGTGGATGCTGCTTTCTTCCTGACTCTGCCTCTTTTGAACTGGCCCTATCTTCATCTCTGTCCATCCTCACAGGAAGCAGGGTTCATTCAAACCCGGTGCTTGTCACAGACAGAATCGACCTGGTGCCATTCTCAGTCCCTGGCATGGGTTCGAATCCCCCTCCTCACACCTCTGGCTGTGCAGGTTAATAATCTGTCCATTCCTGGTGGGTCCTCCCACTGGGGCCTTTGATACTCTGAGCAAAGACAGCACAAGAAAACTACAATTTCCCTAGACGTCCTGATTGTGGGATTTTCTGCCTCTGTTACCCTCTTCCCTCCAGGGCCCTGTGTAGACTCTGGACCCTACTCAGGAGCAGACAGTGGTGGCACGGCCAGGGTTTGCTTTTGTCTGCAGAAGTCAGGATGCTGTCATCTGCAACACTGGCATCTGAGCCACGGCATCCCACACTGGGTCTCCTGCTCCTCTGGTCCCAGAGTTTCCTGTCCTGATGATCTGCGGTCCCTGGAAGCCTGACATTGGTCCCTCGCTTACAACTGATGCCCTTCTGAGAGTGTGAATGAGGTCACAGGCAGCTGAACTCCTCCAGCCCCACGTGGCTTCGCCGGGTCCCTGAGGCAGGGGACTCTGATGGGGACGCAGCCCAGCAACAACGTGTTTGCCCCGGATGCTGCCGGCTGCCCTCCACAACGATGCTCCCTGTTTTCCCCTGCAACGCGTACCCCATTTTCTAGCTGTGTACACACCTCCTAGATGAAGAATGCATTTTCCAGCTTCCCGAGCAGTGGATGAGGCCCTGTGACTAAGTTCTGGCCAATGGGACGAAGGTAGACATGATCCTGTAAATCCTAGCTCAAGTCCTGGAGGGTAGGGCAGAACAATGCCTCCCCTCCCCAAGCACTCCCCATCCCTGGCTGGCCTGGTCCTTGGGCCTTGGAGGAGAAACTAGGCAGAAAGGGCTCAGTGCCCCTGCTAAGGCCAACCAGATCAGTCTAGACAGCTCACTCCGAGACTGTCTAAAGCTTTGTTTAAGCCACTGTGAGTGGGGTTTCCTTACTGTAGCCTAGCTTACATGCTACCTGGCACCATGATCAATAAGTGGCACTTCCTTCCCTTCTGTGCCTTGGGGACCGGGCACTGCGCAGGGTGGTGAAGGGCTTGTCATGGTTGGGTTTTCTGCTCCACCACCCTCTGGATTCCACCCCTATTTCAATCACTGTAGACCCTGTTGGCCCATATCTCTGTCAGCTTTCTCCACTCTCAGGCAGAGACAAACACCCCCCTTCCAGACACAGAAGTCACCGAGGGTCAGAAAGGCAGTGGCACAGGGGTCTCCAAGGGGCTGGGGCGCAGCCAGGTGCCTCGACAGACATTGAATTTTCATCCAGGCAGCGGTGGACTGGCTGGCACTGGAAGCGTGGAGCCACACATCTGGGCCCTCCGTCCCACAGAGAGGTGGTCTGCACTGGCTGCCATCCAGTTGCCACACAACACCACACCGCCACCTGGGGACTTCACACCTGCTCTGCAGAGAGAAGAAACTGAAATCCAGAGGGGTTTCAGAAACCACCAAAGGAGTTGAGACCGGGGTCAACAGGCAGCCCAGCCCCTGCAGCCCTGCTCTCTGTCCTTTGCTGTGCCCGAGCCCCTTTCAGCGGAGAACTCTGTGAAGCAGACTCACCTGGGAGCAGGTGCACGTGAGGTACAGACATGCTTCAGGTGAGAGCCTGGAAGCCAGGCTGAGTCGGCGCCTCGGACCCCCCCCCACCGCACTACCTGCCACAAGATGGCCAGTGGGCCGTGGGGACACACACTGAGAGGAGTGGAGCTGCATGTTCACTTGGTCCCTGGCACAGGAGGCACATGCGCACGTGAGGCCACTCTACCTCCCGTGTCACCATCCTGGCAGGACAACAGGCCTCCCCACCCTCTGAGGTCCCTCTTGCCTGGGGCCGCACTGCCTGTTTATGGATGAGAAAAGCCTCCGTTAACACAGCTGGAAATCAATGCCTCACGTCCCCAACGCATGTTTGTCCACAGCGGGTACATCCAGTCAGGAGCAAAAGGCAGAGGTCTCCAGGCCCAGTCTTTTCCCCAGGGCCAGGGCCAGTCAGGATGGGATGCCCATCCTCCCTCAGCTGTGTTGTGTGCTGGGCACCCATGACACTCCATGCCTGTCGGCTTCCCCTATACAGAACAGGCAAGGTGCAGTCAGTTCCCAAGGCTGCAGTAGCAATGGCCTCTACTTCCAAGATGCAGGACTTCACACACACGTCTCTCACATAGACCTTCACACACACACCCCTCACGTAGACCTCTCTCTGCTGGACATCCACGGAGGCTCTGCCCCCGTCTCCAGATCTCCGAGGGGCTCCCTGGGAAACACTTGCCCTACTTGTACCGGCTCTTTTAACGAGTGGGGTCTTGGGGAAGGGACCCTTCTAGAAGGTTGCTGCCTTCCACAGCATGTGGATGGGTGAACCAGGGTCATTCTCTTGCTGTGCACCTCACACCAGGTGAGCCGCTGAAGCAAGCTGACCAGCCTCCACCTCCCTGGCTCTTCCCCATGGGGCTTGGGGCCACTCCTCTTTCTGGAGACCCAAGCCTGCCGGGGAGTTAGGGAGGGAACAGGAGGTGGTCCAAGTGCGCATACGGGGTTCTCCGAGTTCCGCCTTGCCTGGTCAAGATTCCTAACGCTTTCCCCGTTGCCTGGGCAAGCAGTGAACAGCATGGCCACTCTCCTGGGGGAGGCCCCAGGGAGTACGTGATCTGCCAGCACACAGCAGCATCTAGGGGGGTCAAGAGCGCAAATGGGCTTGGTGGTTAGAGGTGCCAGCAAGGGCCTCCAACAGCAAGTCGGGACAGGCGATCAACGCAAGACTGGCCTTGCCCACCATGGCTTTTCCCATAGTGGGGGGAGGAAGGGCTGGAATATGGGCTGGATTGGGCTGGATTGAGACTTATGGCACTTCAGGCCTGGACATGAGAATGAGCAGAATCCTGGCGGCTGGAACCGAGTTGGGCTGTGCAGGAAGTCTACACTGTTGAACAAGGGACCGTCTCCTTCTGGATGCAGAACAAGGGCACCTGAACCCTGTAAATGCAGACACACAGACACAGCCCCAGTATCTCCACATCCCAGAAAAGCAGAGCACACGAAGGCCAAAAAGCTATCGAGTTCTTTTTTCTTTTTATTGGCAAAGTAAATATATTTTTATGAAGAACCGAAGAAAATATACATAATCGTCACATATGTACACCAGCTTTATAGATTTTTTTAATTTCAAATTTACACAAATGTTGATATGTTATTAAAAGATATTTTATGTAGATGTACCTATGTACAGTTTATTTACATACATTCATAGGATGTGAAATAAACCTGTCAAAACAAGCAAGTTCATTTGATATTAATTCTAGACAAGATAAGGAATGCATTTCTAGATCAGGGTTGGGAGGCTCTACCTAGTCCTTTCACATTCAGCACAGTCTGCTGCCCCCTCCTCCAGAGGTCGTCCCAGAGGCTGGTGTCTAGATTTGTCTGGGAAACCGGAGGAGGCGGGAGCTGCTGGGTGTCCACGCTTATGGCCGTCTGTCTGACCTGAACATTTAACTCAAGCACATGCACTGCCATTGAGGGGACACTTTGCACCTCTCTCCTGCATTAGGCCCCAGCTGCAAGGCTCTGCCCTGCCCACCACCCCCACGGCCCTGCCCATGCCCTCTGGGATCGTGCTGAGGGAGACATCTTGGACAAAGCCACCCTCACACCACAGTGCAGCCCTGGACTTTTGGCCTACTTCCTTCTCCCCCAGCATGGTTCCCTCTGGGAACGGAACATTTCAAAACTCCGTATTTCATCCTCCAAAGCAATAGTGTGCTGGCCTTGGCCCAGGTGGGGCGCCCAGTGGGAGAAGGGCCAGGCCCCCAAGGCCCAGCCTCCAGCCCGCGGCTGCAGCAGAAGCCAGGACGCCGCGGGAGGCGGGGAGGCGGGGAGGCGGGAGGCGGGGAGGCGGGGAGGCGGGGAGGCGCGAAGGCACGAAGGCGCGAAGGCACGAGTCTGGCCTCCAGCCGGGCGCCGGGGCCCAGCCCCAGGGACGCGGGCGCGCGGCTCCGAGTCCTCCCGAGAAAGGCAGCGGGTGGCGGGCCCTGGGTTCACCCTTCGCGGCTCCAGCAAGGGCGCCGGTGGCCTCGTCGCCGTCCCGCTGAAGGAGGCAAATAAATTATTGCTGGGGGGCGCGGGGGGCGCTCAGTTCACGGCGCGCACGGCGCGGCTGCTGCGCGGGAAGCGGTGCACCTTGACGTGCTTGGAGAGGTGGTCGCTCCGCGCGAACTTC